TGCATTATGTAAAGGTACAATTCCCAATGAGAAATGTAATTGTGTTGTATACCTACAATGTACCAATAAAAGAATTTAATACAAAAAAAAGAAACGTCTCATTCAAGGTTTTGGACACAACCTCTCACAGGTAGGAACAGGACAGATGCTACACTTCTGTTCTATCCTGCACTCTCCCAACTGGGGAGGACAGGGAAATGTGAAATCTGTAGTTTAGCTGAGTTTTGTTTTCACTTTTCAGACAATCTTCTTAGAAGAGTCTCTGCAAAATGCAATGCCAAGAACAACCCAAATCTTAACCCTTGAGAATTTCACTTGCTTTTTCTTTTAGGTTAGTCTGTTGTTTTTATATTGTTTATTACTTGAAGATACCAAGTGCCTATTTTATTCATAACTTTTTCTAGATCTGGATAAAAACCTCAGCCTAGCAAAGCTTCAATAGGAAACAATCCTGGCCAGACTTTTCCTCTAGTGCAGATAATTTCCAGCCACTGGCGGGTCCTGGCCTGAGCTCAGAATATGAGCAAGAACAGCACGAGTCAAGATGAGTTGATTCCACAGTGCAGGAGAGAGGGAGGCAACAGTTTCTGCGCCATCTCTGGCCTTTGCTCCTCCAACAGCTCCCTAGGGTGGAGTCTTGTCAAAGGGCAGAGCAGGGAGCTGACGGGAGGAAGGAAGCTACCTTCTAGCAGTCCTTTCCCTCTTGTGGGATTATGTTGTTTTTCCCTCTAAGTATGTTGTGTCTTTGTTTTTAAATTTCTCTACAGTCAGCAGTTTCAAAAGATGAAACAGAACAAGATGTGGTTTTTTAAGAGCCTGCAAAGGCTTTAAGGAGGTCACAGGAAGGTCTTGGTTGGGAGACACAAGTAGCATTAGTGTAAAGAAAGGACTTGGTCTTCACTAACACAGAGCACACAGCAACAGACCTCATTTCTGTCAGGTGCTGTGGGTCCTAGGGTCCTGGCATTTCACTCTGGGCTGTGTGCTGGCAAGACTTGGGTGTGTGGCTCCTGATCAAGGCTGTGCACTCTGTAGCTTCCTCACTCGGCTGAAGCAGAGGCAGTCTGTCTAAATAGAACTCCAGTCAAGTAACTCTGTTCCCAAGACCAACTTTAAAAAGGATTTTAGGACATGAGCAGAATTAAGATATCTCATGTACATGTACCCATTCCTCATGATGAATGGAATAATTGTGGACTGTAATAAAATTTCTTTTTAAAAACTAAACTTTAGTATGAAAAATAAAAGAATTTTAAATAGTACTCCCTTACTTGTGAGTGACCTCAGTGCTAGTAGATCCACCCTGTACTTGTGGGCTCCAGTTTTGCTGAGTGTCCCCAGGGCTGTGTCACCTGGCTTTGGAAGACTTTTTGAAGGTCTTTCTGAGGGTCCATTGGACTTCTCTGATGGTTTAGTTCCTGTGTGTTTCCTCAGGCTTATTTTAGAAAATCAATCAGGAATCCCAAATGTGGATGTTTCCATAGTGGAAATTTATAACAGTGACATTTTTGATCTGGCCAAACACAATTCTACAGTGGCATCTGGGGTCAAGTGTGAGGTGGTGACAACCCAGGATGGACGGACAGAGGTCCTCCTGCTGACTCGCAGGGGAGTGGGTGAGGGACCGACCATCTGCAGTTCTCCTGCAAGGGCTTAGCGCAGTGGCTTTCTGGGAAGAGCCCACCCTGCTGCTGGATCAGGGCTATCAAGCCACAGAACTGTTGATTGTGAATGTTTAGGGTTTAGTATGTGTTGCATAATTTTCAACTTATTTTAAGTTATATTTTTTAATGGTAACTATGTAGAGGCAATAGGCATGTTAATTATCTGGAATGTGATAATTTCACAATGTATATGTTTATCATAAACTTACACAGTTTTTATGTCAATGATATCTTAATAAACTGTTTAAAAAAGAGCTGGAGCTCAGTGGTAGAGCACTTGCCTAGCATGTGTGAGATCCTGGGTTTCATCTCTAGTATGGAGAAAGAGAGAGAGACAGACAGAGAAAGAGAGAGACAGAGAGAGAGACAGAGAGAGAGAGAGAGAGAGAGAGAGAGAGAGAGCGCTGATTGGCACCTAGAGTTCTTACCTCTCTGGTGTGCCTGGAGTTGAACTGCCTATGCTGAGATTCCAGAACAGCAAGGAAAGGGCCTGCAAGCTACTTTTAATATTTCAAAAGCTCAATGAAAACTTCCCTTGTCGCCAGGACAAAATACCCAACATTTGAAACTTAAAGAAGAAGAGGGTTTTTTTGGCTCCCATTTCAGACATCAGTCCTTGCATAGTCAGGAGTATGGAGAAAGGGTTTGGCGGAGGAATGGTGTTCACCTCATGGCAGCCTGGAAGCAGAAAGTGAAGGCAAGGATGTGGGGAGAGAGGCCCCATTTCCTGACACCGAGCCAGCTGTAGCAGCCCCACAATCCAATCACCATCCAGAAGTCCCACCTCTGAGGACAAGCAGCTTTGCAGGGGAAGGGAGATCTTGATATAAACCATAACAGAAACCATACATTTGGTTGTGATATACCCGCAGAAAGTAACTAGAACTTGGAGCTTTTGACGGTAGACTATGATGAGCATGGCTTCTGCTGATTAAGAGTTCTGACCAGCAGCCCATCTCATCAACGGAAGGGGGAAAATGGCTTAAACTTTCATTTCACAAATTTGATTTTTTCTTTTTTGTATCAGGGATCTAACGCAGGACCTTGTGCGTGCCAGGCAGATGCTGTGCCACTGCACAAGTTTGATTTGATAGATACAATATTTCAAAAACTTGGATCCATGAGGGTGTAACAAAGTGAAGAAAAAGTTTATGCTAGAAGGTAGCAACTTCTGGTTTGGTTCTAAAGCTGTTGCTTATTTCAGAGTGAGCAATTAGAGATGCTAAAGGTCAGTCTCAGAAAGCAAAAAATTAGGCCCCAGAAAGCAAAAAGCTTGATTTCTGATGTTTTGTTTTATGTACAATTGGCTTTGTCTCCTTTCTGGAAATCAGTGTACCTGGTTTCTTTTCGAGGCATCTGTTAGTGGAAGGGTGTTCAGTCAGCCTGTGGATAGGCCACTGGCCCTTGGTGGTCAGACTGGGAGATGTGTGTGCTCTGTCTTTTGGGGTGCCCTTAAACATATGTCTTCTCAGGGCCATCACCAGTGTCCTGGAGTTTGTGGAGCTTGTCCACGGGGGCCTGCAGCTCAGGGCGAGGAACCCTACCCTGGTGCATGCAGATCATTCCAGATCTCACCCAATCATCATGGTGACTCTGACTGCAGCCACCTCCTTGGCCAGCATTGGTGAGTTGCCATTTGCACTGGGTCAGTTCCAGTGCAGAAAAGAAATCCACTCACCAAGAAACACTTTGTGGGGCTGCAGGATCAAAGGTATACTGATGGACCTGAGAATAGGAATTGCAGCCGTACCATCTAATGATCTGGCCTCCAAAGCCAGCAGGCCCTAGAATCCCACGCTGGGAAGAGAAAGTGAGGAAGGAAAGCTCTTTGCTGGATTAAAAGGAAAACAGGGTATACTTATGGCTTGAAACACAGCACACCACTTGTGAATGGAACTCAGTGTAATTTCAGTTTAAAATGGAAGTTATAGACTATACCATAGAGAAAACAATTCCACCTACCCCAGAAAAACAAGGTATGTGTCACACAAGCCTGCAAGGCCTAGCGCAGTGGCCCTCAGACCCTGGCTTCACAAATCATCTACTGGACCAGTGCCTCCCCAGCAGGCACATTTGGCAGGCCACAGCAGCCCAGGGGCTGTGTTTCTGCAAGTTCATGGTTCCAGGCACCATGCCACAGAGCTACCGCTGGGCCTTGACTTCACACTGTGTAACAGAAGCCCTGGGCCAAGTGGTCCACACAGTGAAGGCGATTTCTCCCTCTCACCGAAGGCCAGTGTAGACAGACATTCTCCATCTTGTCACAGTGACACTCGATCCCCTGTGTCCTCTGAGATTCCCCATGCCAGGGAAGGGACAGGTAAAGCAGCACACTCACTCCTGTGGCCACTACAGCCAGCAGGTCGCAGGCCTGAGCCTACTGCAGGGACAGCACAATGCCAGGCACAAACACATAGGAGCACCAGCTGCTTCTACCCAGAGATGCACAGGAAACACACGCAGTGGAAATGAGAGGGATTTTTTTGTTCTTTTTGTTCAAATGTACATTTCCTGTCTTGCACAGTGAGTATATATTATTTAGGTTTAAAAAATCTCTTCAAGAAGTTTCTTTTGGTGTAACAGATGGCAGAACACTTCAAAATGAAGCACTTATTTATAGGGTTTTATGAAAGCTTATCCAAACGGGAATGGTAGGATTTATTTCCAGATAGATGTTCTATCTGGGATTTTAGTTAAGATCATCACCAAAACTTTCTAAGAGGCATTCCATTTTCTTGGGATAGATTAAGCATTATTTCAGTTTTCCATAATGAAGCCTGCTTTCTGCCTCCTCCTTCTTTTTTTTCTCGAAAAGGTACAACTCCAATACATGTATCATGTAGAATTCAATGTCATATCTTTGTTCTTTGGAGTAACAACTTCTTCAGAGCTTCTTTGGCTCTAGAAAAATTTTGAACAATTTAAGTTGGTTTTCTACAAGGAAAATACACATGCCTTTGTGTATATACGAGCCCCTGATAAAATAATTTTCCCTGTGACATAAGTTTCATTTACTACCACCACAATCTTGAGAGGCACTCAACATCTTCAGATACTGCTTAAAAGATAAGAGCCTGAGATCGAAAGGGGGAGGAAACAACCAGTATTTACATGAAAAGACCAAACCTATAAAAATTCTCAAAATAGTGGGCTCTTCAAACTATTCACTGTTATTTTGCATTCTAAAGTGCATATAGGTTGATATATTTTTTAAATGTCACTGGATAGTTTAATTTTTCTGTATAAAAATAGAGCATTTTCTGGCAAAAATTGGGAGATGAACAATTATCTCAAGGTAAGTTTAAATACAACTCAAGAGGGAGAAATAGTTGTGAATTGTGCTATTAAAGGTGTTTAGATTACTAAGTCAAAGATGATTTCCTGATTTTGTTTAAATGTGAGCTCTTTAAAATCAGAGTGAAGACTGAATTTAGTGTCATTAAGTAGAGAAATCATCACACTTTTACTTGAACAGTAAGATGGTAAGGTCAAACCTCAAACTACTTTGCTTTAATTTGAACATTTAGAATTTCCTTTTACTTCAGGCAGCCTGGTCAGACCCTCTCCGGGGAGCGAACAGGGACAGGAAAGAGCTGGAGCTCAGCTCACCAGGCTTCGCCTGGGCCCATGCCCCTGGACCCGGTGGGCTGTATGAAGCAAGTGTGGTCTAGGCTGCAGTTGGTGCACTTGGCCGGCAGTGAATGTGCAGGTGAGCAGGGATGGGAAGGCTTGCCTGGGTGGACACAGCACTAGCAGTAGCCCTCCTCTGGGGATGCTGACAAATCATGACTCTATGCAGGTGCCTTGGAAGGTCTGAGCGTGGCATTTCCCCAACACAAGGGACACTGAATCCCTGTACATCCTCGTGGGTGCCGTGATCGCACCACTGCAGTCCAGAACATGCCCCCACACACACATACACCATGACACTCTTTGGCCAAAGGAGCTCAGAATTTCCAGCAAGAGCTCAGCACTGGTCCTTAGAGGAGACACGTGAACATGGAGGAGCTGGTTTTGGTAGCTTCCAACCTGGTGTCTCCCCTCTGAACGCCTTAAGTGCATGCTTCTCCTGAGAACCAGTACTGCATTTTCTAGCTCATTTGTGAGCGTGTGGTAACTGTACCTGGTTTCTGCCCCTTCCATGTGTGTCGGGGGTGACAGGCTTGGCACTGACGGAGACCTTGTTCATCAACCGTAGTTATCTCAGCCCTGGCAGATGTCCTGGCCACTTTGTCAGAGCGCCGTGGCCACATCCCTTACCGGAACAGCAAGCTCACCTACCTGCTGCAGGATTCTATCAGTTCGTCCTTCTGTTATCTCTGAGGGTCCATGCAGGTGGCTCCTCCTGGTCAGAGTACTGGCTTTGCAGGGCATACTGTGACCTGTCTCAGCATCTCCAGTACTGCTGCTGATAACCAGTGTGCCTACTGCACCCTCTCATGAGCATGGCTTGTCCCCATGTTAGAGCCGAACCTTTGCCACTCCAGCTGGTTGGCCGTCTCCCAGGGGCAGCCCTGGGACACAGCAGGCAGTTGAGGGATGCTTGCCCATTGGATGTCTAAGGTATGGGAAGGGCAACTCAGCTTAGTGATAATGGGTGGCACTTGGCGGCCTGCAGCCCTCAGGGCCTGGATCTACTGGCACTGGGACATGGTCCCTGCTCAGCTGTGGGCAGACTGTCAGAGAGCTTCTCAGCTCAGACAGCTACTCAGGGTTTGATGCTGCTTTTCACCAAATTCTTTTCAACTTGCATCTTGTTACTTTTTTTTTTTTTTATAGGAGGTGATGCAAAGTTACTGGTGATTCTCTGTGTGTCTCCTGAGCAGAAGCACATGGCAGAGACACTGCAGAGCCTTGGGTTTGGGACCAGAGCTTGGCAGGTCAAGCGAGGACAAGCCAGGAAGAAGCCTCCCCACTCCCAGATGAGAGAGTTGTGCCTGGGCTCGGCCTAGGAATGAGCTCTCCTCCCTCAAAATGTGCTTCTTGTGCCTGCTGTATGATGTGTGTGTCTGATAAATAAACATGTTTTGCTGAGACTCAGTGAGTCTGGTTTTGTTCCCAGGGACCTGCAGGTCACCAGATCCGAGGGTGGGGAGGAGGCAGCTTGTCTGAGGGGCCCCTTCCCACCTGGGGCATTGGCCTGAGCAAGGAGCTGCTGGGTCTGTGGAGGCAGTGGTGGTGGGGGACACCACTAGGCCAGACTCCATACCTGTCACCTCAGTGGACACAAAGCAGGCCTCAGTACTGGATCTCTCTGAACATGTTCTGGAACCAGACGGACTTGGGCTCTTCCCTTCTGCTGAGTCTTCACTGGGTTAGAGACCTGTCCCTCACCTGTGAGAGGGTCAAGTTGGAGGGTCAGCAGCAACACAGGAAAGGTGCACAAGTGCCGGGGCCCCTGACATTTAGCTGTCCTTCCTCCTTGTCAGGCTGAGGCACAGGTGACAAGTGGCCCTACATTTGGGAGGAGACCTGGGCTCCTTGGGTCTGTGAATAGTTAGGGCCCTGGGAAACTGGATGAGAAAAACATCTCATCCCCCCGAGCCACTCTGAGGACAACCAGCCACAGTGTCTATTACCGACTGGCTGAGGGCCGCACAGCTCCTTCCATCGAGTCATAAAGCCAGAGCTGGGGCAGCAGACCTGCTCTTCCACCGGTGTCCAGTGTGTGATGAAGAGGAGGTGGCACCAGGTCATAATCTTAACACGATAGCTCTGCCCCTTGGTTCTGGAACATTCTGGGCCAGTTTCTACCTCCCTCAGGCTTCAGAGGAGCTACTGGCCTGTAGGACAGCTGCACCTAGCCACCGCCAAAGGAGGGGCAGAGGATTAGTTTAAAGTCAACTCAGTGTCTGTCTCATTCCCCTGTTGAGCTTGCATCAGCCCTCTCAAGTGCCTGTGGATTCCAGGGTAAGTGGGGACAGGGCTCAAGGGGCAGAAGGGTAGTAGGGCACCCAGAGGCATCTTCCATGTGATCATTGAGAAGGACTCTGCTCTGCAGGCTGCCTAGAAGAGGTGGGGAATGAAGAGCCAGTGCTGCAGTTCCCCAGGACCCTCCAGGACCTGTGAGATGGACCCAGGGTCTGGTTGTCCATCATGCAGAGGGTGGGAAGGAGTCAGACCTGCACCGACACATGCAGATTCCTCAGACACTGGGTGTGGAACTGTTGTGACCCACAGACAAGGGGAGGGCCCAGGTGACTCTGGAGGTGTCACTCATACCTCTAGTGAGCAACTTCACTTTGAGATGGCCTCCAAAATCCTAGTGCAATTTTATCTCTCCAAGTTCCATTCCTGACACACAGCACAGCATCCAGGCAATGTGTCCCTCTGCAGGTGTGTCCTCTCTGCCTCTCCAGGAAGGCACTGAACCCACAGTTCTGGCTTGGCAGCAGAGTGGTAGGAGTCCTGAGGATGGTCTCTGGCTAAGCATCAGTGCTGCTGTTCGCCTGGCTGGAGCTGAGTCCTAAGGGAACTCAATCCTATCCTGGCCCCTCTGGGACTTTTCATGGACAGACAGCTGGGAGGAGGCAGTGGTGGGCCCCAGAGCACTCTCTCGCTGGAGCCAGGCTGCTCGGCTGCTCCCTGCTTCTAGAGCCTTGACAGGCCTCTCTGGCACCCCAGAGGCCAAGGCTGGGTCTTAGGAGGAATGCATGTGTCAGGGAATCGGGGTCACAAGCACAGACCAAGAGTAATTCAGTTTTTCATCAGCGATGAGTTTGGCTCTGAAAATGAGGCTCAAGCAGGTTTCTGAGACAAGCCACAGCTAACTGCTTTGGTGCACAAATGGCTTAAATGCCAGGAAAATTTTTCTCATTTCACCCTGTTTTATTTGTGTACCCTACATGTGGCTGAGGGGAGGTATGAGCTGCCTGGGCCCTGACACAGGATCCCTTCAGCCTGGAGTGAGGCGTGGGGTTGAGTGGCTGGTGTCCTGGGACATGAAGACCTGGTCTTCGCCTGGCCTCCCTTCCCCCGGGGCAGAGCTTTCTGTCTTCATTGGAGAGGGTACCAGGCCCTCAGTGCTGGGCCCAGATCTTCACAGTGAGGCCAGGAGGATGAACATATACACAGGACATGGAGCAGAGAAATAATGGGCTCCATGTTTTCTCTGCCACATAAATGCAGCACCATGCTACGGGCTGTGTCTCCAGAGATCGTCTCCATAAAGTGACCTCCACCTCCACAGTGACTGGGTCAGGAAGGTGGAGCCCTTGGTGGAACTGATGACTTTATTAAAGAGCCCCAAGAGCTTCCTTGGCCCTCCCACACTTGAGGTCACATCAAAACAATGTCCCACCAGGCTGGAAATGGGCCCTGACCCGGGACCAAGTGAGCTAGCAGGCTGACCTTGGATGTCCAGCCTCCAGTCTGTGAGGAATACATTTTTTTATAAGCTTGCCTGACTGGTAATTTTCTACAGGGGAAAACTAAGACACTGCACAATGGGAACCCAGGGGCTGGTGAGGAGAGGAGGTGGGGGATGGTGGCAGGAGGAGAGGGGATGGGCTGCCAGGGCCTGGACACTGTGGCAGGTCATTACACAGAGAGCCAGGTGCAAGGACAGGCTGCAGGGACGGCAGTCACTAGCCTCAGGGCCCTCGCTACAGGCCAGACACATCTTGTCACAGACCCATCACCACACGTCAGCCTCTCAGGCTTGGCCCTCCATTCACAGGCTGAACTTCTCACCCGAACTCAGGACCTCCTGCCTCCTGTCACCATCCCCCTTCTCTACTCAGAGAACTAGAGGAACCTTGTCATTCCGGCTGCTGAGTTATACCCTTGTCACCCTGCCCAAAGACAACACCCATCCAAGTCCTTTGCAAGTGGCCAACCCTCACTCACACCCTGCTCTAGGGGCAGCTTCCTCTGTCTCAGTGCCACCGGCCCGGCCTCACAGCTGCCCCAGCACCATGGAATCTAGGACCCCAGAGGACAAAGTTCTGGCCATCAGGGAAATCATGTTAGTCCTGGCCACTTTGTGATGGTGATGTCCAGTTTCTGCTGCGTAGCCCAAACCCTTGTCTGGTCCCACCTTGTGTTTCTTTGATGACAGCAGCAAAAGAGTTGATGGGGAGGAGCCATGCCTTTGTCAGCAGGAGTCTAGCAGGGTCACACAGGTACAGGCTCCAGGGCTGCCTGAGGTGGGGACTTGGAACAAAGAGTGGCTGAGGAGCTGGAGAGCCTGCCAGCAGTGGGGATCAGGGGCAGGTGAGGAGCTGAGAAGGTGTAGCTCTGTCCACAGCCTTCCCTGGCAGTCAGGAACCTCCATCCCCATGAGGAGCAATGAGCAGGGTGTGTGGGGATATTGGACACATGTCCCTAAAAGTCAGCCTTTCTGCAATCAGAGGCCTCAAGTTCAGCATCCCCATTTGGAGCCTGATTCTGAGGCCTGAAAATTTTATAGAAGTTTCTAGGGGATCCTCTTTCAGGAAGAAAGGTCCAGATTATGAATTCTAAAGTGCATATGAAGATAAATGTAGAAACATTTTTAAACCATCAAACCCCAACTTTTCAAAAACTAGCAAATAACTCAGATAATCACAAAATTCAGTGACAGTACTCATTAATTGCCGATGACTGATGAACAGTGAATTAATCTACAGCATATGTTTCCTGTGTTTCTCAGCTGGGCCTTTGTTGGTCACTCCTTCGTGTGATTTTGTGAAATACCCAGCTGTCCCTGCACGGCTGATGACATGTGTTTCTGTTTCTGGAAGGTCCCTTTCCCTCCACAGCTCTGTATGGTGGCATCATGAGGATGGTTAGGATGGGTCACTGTGACTGCGTAGTTCACTGCCTGCTTCCATCCACATGCGCTCTGGCTCTGGGGGACGCATCCATGTCACAGGCTGACCTCTGTCCTTCCAGGTCTGTTTCAGGAAGCTTGGTGCCCCCACCATGAGTGATGATGTCCTGAGCCCTGTGACCTCCTCCCACTAGCGTCAAAAACATCTTCAGCTCAGCCCCCATGGTTGGATTGCTTCGTGTCGCAGGTGCTATGATGTCGGCTGTGACGAGTGTGAAGGGCCGGGTGGGGAGGGATGGCGTTCCTGCCTCCCACAGCTGAAAAGCTACGTTTCTGCACGTTTTACAAAGCCACGCAGCCACATAAGCGCATGGCCACCCCCAAAGCTTAGTCTCCCTCGGAGTACTGGGACATCTGCCCCTGCCCGACCCCTGCTGTCTGCCTTGGGGCCCTGTCCATTGTGAGGCAGAGGTGAGGCCACCTGGCTGGACTCCTGACCAGTAGCCATTCCAGCCCCGTCCCAGTATGGAAAGGGTGCTCCCTTTCAGAAGGGAAGGACTGAACCTGGAATTCTTCATCTTTCAAGAGAGGTGGGGCTGTGACCAGGGTGCGTGGAGGACAGAGACAGAGCTTTGTTTCCCAAGAAGAGGTGTTTGCAACACGAAAGTGCTGGTGAAAAGTCAGAATGTAGACTGGGCTCCACACTGCCCAAGGAGGAGGGGAGTGGGCCCAGAGTGGGGCTCGCCTTCCTTACACCCCAGCCCGGCAGGACAGCAGCCGCCCTGCCCCTGCTCCCCAGATGACACCAGGCCAACAGCGGGCATGTGGACCGCAGGTCCAGCCAAACCACGAGCACTTGGACTGGGCAGCTGCAGTGGCACCAGCAAGTCCCTCCCACATCTGGACCCCCAGCCTGGCCCAGCCAGAGCACCGTGGTGGTCACTCAAGGACCCACTGCCACTGCCTCTTGCAAAGCTGCTGCCCACTGTTAGGGACCGGAGACAGTGAAAGGAGGTCTTCATTTCCAGATCCATGGACATGGGTAAGAGGGAGATCTGTTGGGCTTGGCCTCGGCCCCTCTCCACTCCCAACCCAGGTCCCTGTCGCCTGCCCCACTGTCCCTTTTAGGCAGAGGCTGGGAGAAGCTTGGCCTCTAATCATTCTCCCCAGTTACCAGAAGTGGCTGCAGAGAGAAACACTCAGCAGTCCAAGTCACCTGGCACTCTGCCCCGTGTCTGCCCACAG